GTCCGTCCATCTCCTTCCGAAGGCATTGGTGCCTTCTGCGCAGAGGTATTTGTCGACTTCCCTAGAATCTGCGCGATTATCTCCTCCTGCGTGGGATTCCGCCGGAGCGGAGTACGCCCGGTCTCCTCAGTACTAGTTGGCATTTTGCGTGCCCTCTGTTTTGGTCGACTGTGAGGCTCGTGGGTGGGCCGACCACGAGTCGGCGCAGCTGGCACTTCCGGCTGCCTGTCCTCAGGTCTCTCATCCCACTTCCGCTTTCGCGGAATGCGCTCACTTCGACGTTCTTCTGATGCTCTTGCTGGGGCCGGAGCCGGAGGCGGACTGGCAGGTTCCTCGTCCGGATCCGTGTCCACTTCGGCCTCCCGTGAGTATCTACCTGGATAGATCCGGGTCAGCAGCGGAAACCGTGTCCGCTCTGAATTTGTCAAACAACCCATCGCCCGATAAAACACAATAAGGTAAGGCGAAAGATGATTGAGGGTTCCTCCTTTCTCTTCTTGCGCATGTTGGCGCGTCACCTTCCACAGCAGTCGTGCCCAATGCACTGGAGCTCCTGACAACACTAGCTCCACAAATTCTACCTGCCAACCATGCATGTAAGCGGTCTTGGTCGGCTGCAATATCTGCAGCAATGCAGTCGCGACATTTCTCCGCAATCGATCTTTGTAATCCCTTGTCCGGAAACCGTTCTTGGGATGCCTGGCAACTTTGAAGAGCTCATTGTAGGAGATTTCTTCCTCTTGGGACACCTTCACGCTATCGGCCTCGAAGAGGAGATCCCCTTCCTCGCCGGCACACCTGCCCAACACCTGCGCCCAGTTACAAATGTCCCATCTTTCTGGATGTGGACGGAATCCGCGTGAGGGCTTGTGTCTCTCCTGCAGATACTCGCGCACCATCTCCGGACATGTCCAGTTCCACCCCCACAGGAGGAAATCGAGCTTCAGCCCCAGCAGCACATCTTGAAATGCGCGTAGACCGATCTGCGGCACCCTGAGTGGAGACACTCGCAGCTGGAGAACCTTCGACATTGCGTTACCTGCACACACAAACGTTCTCCCTTTCGCTCGCTCTCTCACAATCGCCACTGCGCGTCGGCCGCTCAAGCACTAACTGCTCACTCTCTCTTCGCTCACGCTCAAGTTCGCTACTCGCAATTCTCTCCAAGGTCTGTCAAGATCCTTGCGCAACTCGTCTCCGCACTCTCTCCTCTCACTGCAGGTCTCTCCGCCCTTGCGCGTAATCTTGGAAGCTGGAAATCGCAAAATCAAGAATGAGAGAATGAGACTGGAGCGCAGTCTTTTCTTCTCCGAATTCAAGAACGTCCAACGTTCTTACTGGTTACAACGTACGCAGCCGGCTATAGGGCCTAACGGTTCGCCCTTTGCATGCGCGAATTCACGTCTCCGCACTGCGCGCATTCGCATGCGTGAATGTTGAATTCTCCCGCCGCCGCCGCCTTCCGGACTCGAGTCCGCCGTAGGGTATGCGTCGGCTATGTTGTCTTTCCCTAACCCGTCCATCACCGGAGGCGTGTCGCCGCTGGCGTGTTCCTTATCCCTCGGCGCCTTGCTGGAGGCGCACATCCAGTCGGCGCGAATTAAGCCGGCGCGTATTCGTACCGCTTATTTTGTCCTTTATGCCTCGTCCATTGCTGACGGCGCATATCCGCCAGCGCAAATCATGCCAGCGCAAATCATGCCAGCGCATCCGGCCATCAGCGCCACGTCGGAGGCATACATCCGACCGGCGCTTTCCTTCCATGAGCAGCCGCCAAAGGCGCTTCCGACTCTGAGTTGGTTTCCTCCCATGAGCGCGTGATTCCGCCGAAGGCGCATCGCCGAGGGCGTACGGGAGTCCTTTCCGGCTGTGAACCCTAGCGCGAACGGCGCATGTCCGGCTACGAGTTTTCCGACGCTCATAACTTCTCCGTCCCTGATCCATCTCCGACGGTCTTCGGCTCGTTAGAACGAGCGTCCCGAGCTCTTTCTAATGCGACTTCAACCAACTGGATCTACCGTGTATTTCGATCGTTATGAAGGTTTCCCTTTCCGCGCTAGCGGCGCATCGCCGAAGGCGCACTCATGGTCGGAAGCCTTCAGAGGTCCGGGCCGTTCTTCTGACGTCTTTAGCAAAACCTCCTCCTGAGGTGTCTGCGCTGGAAGCGTAACTTCCTTAACCGCTGGAAGCGCGTGAGTAGAGACGCCTCAGAAAAGGAGCTTTTGCCGAAGGCGCCGAAGACATTGGCGTTGGTACATCCGACTACGCGATCCTTCGTGACCTCGTGACGATCTCCTCAATCCACTCTATTTAACGTACCCGTTTCTAACTACAAACACTACTTCGGTACTAGTTTTCTAAAATTGTTTAAATTCTGCAAAAAAAACAAAAAGTGTGTTACCACACGGCTCCTTCCCCTTCCTGCATTGTACCGGGCGTGAGTCCTGCCTATGTGTAGGCAGACTTTCTCTGCCTATGCGTAGGCACAGATCCACGTCCGCAAGGGGTCGCCTATCCACAGGGAGTCGCCTATGCGTAGGCGGCACACTCATCCGCATCGCACGTGGTAACTCCTGACCCGAAGGCCGTCTCTCTTCCGCCGAAGGCGTAGCGTGGTCTACCGCCCCTTCGGCCGTCCGCATAGTCCCATCCTTCTCCGGGGACGAACTTCCCTTCTCTGTGGCGATCGTCGCCGTTTCCGCGCTGCTGGTTGGTAACAAAAGCCTGCGCGCCTTCTGCTTCGGCCGGCTGCAAACTTCGTGAAGTGGCCGCTTCCGTATGAGAGCAGTGGATTCTCGACGTTGCTCTCTCTCCGGTTCCTCTCTCCATCTTCGCTTCCGCGGCACTCTCGCTGCGGGTGTATCTCTTCCCGCATCCTATTGAGTCGGTGGAGTGGAAGTTGGCGAATCCTCCGCGTCGGTGTCTACCTCATTATCCCGCACATACCTCCCGGGATGGTCGATTGACAATGGCGGAAATTGAGCACGCTCCGCCGCGGTTAAACAATTCATCTCCCGATAAAAATTTATCAAGAAGGGGGAGAGGTGATTGAGAGTTCCTCCCCGCTCCTCAAATGCATGCTGTCGCATCACCCTGTGTAGGATACGCGACCAGTGAACTGGAGCTCCGGCTAAGATGAGCTCCACGAAGGACACCTGCCACAACGTGATGTACGTAGTGCGATGCGGCTGCAACAATTGCAGCAGCGCCATCGTGAGGGTCCTGCGGAAACGATCTTTGTAGTCGCGGGTCCTGTACCCGTTCTTGGAAGACCTCTCCCGCTTGAATAATTCCACGAAGGAGGCTTCGTCCTGCTTCATTACCTTGACGCTCTCACTCTCGAATAGGAGGTACCCGTCATCACCTGCGCATCTCCCCAATGCCTGTGCCGAATCGTGGACAATCCATCTATCTACGTGCGGACGCAATCCGCGCGTAGGTGGTCGCTCCTCGTCCAGCCATTCGCGCACCATGTCTACGCACACGTAATTCCATCCTCACAGCAAGAACTCGAGTTTCCTTGCAATCAGCCGTTCCTCAAAGGCACGCAACCCATTCTGCGGAAGCTTGAGTGGCATCATCCGCAGCCTCATCGATTTTGACATCGCGTTCTTGAAATTGGTTTGTGCAACTCTCTTTTGCTCCGCCCGAGCCCCTTGCTCGCGCTTCTACCTCCTCTGCAGACTCTAATTTCTCTCAATTCCAACTGTCGCGCACTCAATTCTCTCTCAGCCACCGAGTAACTCTCCGCGCGGTGATGTCTAGAATGTCTCTCAGCTAGCAGGTGGACACGCGCAGCTCGCACCAGAAATTGAAATCGCGAATTCAAGAATGGGGCGTCATCTGTCTCCTCGTAGGAGGTCATGGTCGGCTCTCGGTCGTGAAGGTCGAATCACTTGATGGCCGCGCCGGCTCCGCGGTATAACGGCCTTCTCTCTCACGCGCGGCTTCACGCTTCGCCGACGCCGACTTCACTCACGCACTCGAATTGGTAATTTGAACTCCGTCAGCGTATCACGCCGCGGCCATGGGCGCGCAGCGCCGAAGGCGGATTTCTCGCCGACGCGCTACACTCCTTCGTACTTCAATTTGGCTCGTCCCCCTTCCGCCAAAGGCGTTCGTCCGCGCATAGGACAAAAGTCGAACTCCCTTCTGCGTAGGCGGAATCCCCGGCGGAGTTTCCGCCGGCGCAGAACTTCATCTGCCTGTGCGTAGGCGCTCGCCTATGCGTAGGCGAATTCCGTCCGCACACAAGACGTTCGTCCGCACAGGTCCCTCGCCGCAGTCAACGGATTCCGTCCAGTCTGTCCATTTCTCTCGCCTCTCCGTCGGCGCTCTTGTCTCCGTAATCCCGACCGGCCGAAGGCGCACTCGTCCGTTCCGTCCGTACGGTCCGTACGGATTTTGCTACTCCGTTGGGTCCTTGGAGAGTGAGTTGTCCTGCTGCGCATCAAGCACAAAATTTATATTCTGCTGACGAGAACCCCGGACGTACCTTTCCCAAAATCTTACAAAAATATTTTTGTAAGATTAGTTTCGTTATATATGATTTTTTGGTAGTTTTGGTTTATAAGTATGAGACATTGATCCGATTATAAAAGTTCTCATCTATAGGATCATTGTTTCGTATTCGTATCTTTGAGAACAGGCTGATAATATAGGGTTTACGGTAGGTTTAGTGGACAAGTTAGAGACATTCATCCTACAATAAAGATGTCCGTCTAAAGGATCAATTTTTCAAAAATGTTTTTGTGATAATAATTTGGTTCTATAGAGGTAATGGTAGTTTCAGCGAATTAGTTAGAGACATCAATTGGACGACAGAGATTTTCATCTAAAGGATCATTTTTTTCTAAATGTTTATTTGAGAATAAAGAGTTTCAATTTATATTCCATGCTTTTACGGAAATCCTTTGAAACATGTCTGAGCTCAGCCACAGAATTTCATGCGCATGATGTTGAGCTCGAGTCAGAAGAATACCCAAAGTAACTGACAATACATCCGCTCACTCTTTATTAACAAAATTGTGCTCACTGACAGGAGCTAGTACCAGAGTCTCCTTTATGATAAGAAGAGTATAAAGTGCGTAGCCGACAACCAACTCATCTGAACTTAGACCTGAAAAAAAATCGGTTTTTGTACAGTTGGGTTTTTGTGCCAATGGGAGAGCCTAGCTAATCGATTCGGTGGGATATAAAGAGGATAGACAAGTCTATGAAAGCCTTCTGAAATGACCACAGCCTAAGTCAGATCATTACGGTCAGGAATATGTGCATATTCAGTTAATGATACCTACGAGCTTAGGAAGTGAACTGTCTAAACTGCTTCAGTCGGCCTTCGGAAGAGAACTAAACTAACGTAATAGGAAACTACGAAACTTTCAGATTTCTGGTATGCACAAGGGTTCTCGTTTTCGATTCCTCGAAGCTGAGGTCTATGCTTGTTGCCTGCTTTTTAGCCTTTTTTGGAATGGAAAGAGCACTCGTATATATACCACATTGAAGTCTTGATCGGTCCTAATTGCAAAGTATGAAGCATGAAAATTTCTGTAGTTTTTAGCATGGATCTAAATGTGATGGTAATCCTAGTCCTCTTCAAATAGATGATTTCAGGTTTTACCCTTGTTGATGCTGAATCTTCAGCGCGTGGTTTCTCCCCGGCTATGTATAAGAACTTCTTCGTTGTTATTTACAGTAGAGTGGTACGTGCAGCTGCAGATCAGTGTATGTACTCGAGCCTGAGCATGAGCTTCACATTTTGTTGTCAGCAGATTTACTGTCCTTGGTTTTTTCGTCCTCACCCTGAGAGCTTGGTCTCAAGTTTTCTCATGGAGCCGGACATGGACATGGTCGGGAACAGGAAGTGTGATCCTAGCGGCAAAGCACGGATGACGAACTGGTGATAGGCGGCAGCCAAGGTAGCTCCGATGAAGGGACCAACCCAGAAGATCCACTGCAAAATCAGATGTCCCAATTTATCAGCCCTGGCATCTACTGTCAGGCAGAATGTTCATGCGAGTGGGAGAAACTGGATCCTGGATTCTCTGAGGATTTCAGTCAATGGAAAGAATCTGACATAACACATATAAGTGGGATAAGTTGAGATAATATGACTCACCTGGTCATCCCAAGCTTGCTGGTGGTTCCAGAGAGCAGCCGGGCCGAAGCTTCGTGCAGGGTTGATTCCACAGCCAGTGATGGGAATGGTCGCCAGATGGACAACGAAAACTGCAAGCCCGATGGGCAATGGGGCGAGCACCTGCGAGATCACAGCGCCTCCAGACATCAAGTTTCGTCTTCCATTTGGACCAGTTCAACATAATTTCTGTGACTCTGATCCAGCTTCAGAAGCTGCAATTGGATTCATCTGGGAACTCACTCCTCAAGAACCCTCAGATATAATGGTCTTTGAACCTACCGGCACATGCGAGTCCCTGGCCTTGCGCTTAGCATCAGTGGCAGAGTAGACCACGTAAACCAGGAAGAAAGTCCCGATGATTTCTGCTGCCAGACCTGTGCCGATGCTGAAATCTGCACTGACGGTATTCGTAGCGCCGCCCAGTACCTGGAATGGATTTTTCTGCAATCCCTTCACGATTCCTGCACCACAGATACCCCCTGCCATCTGGGCAATCATGTAGATGAAAGCCCGAGGAACTGAAAGCTTCCTACCCAGAAGTAGTCCCAAAGTAACTGCGGGGTTAATGTGTCCTCCTGCCCACACCAACGGATCAATCTTAGCAAGGAATTTATCAGACGACTGCGATAACTTCTCCAATTTGCCGGGCTTTGTAATTCTTCGCGCGGGCGCAACAGCAGGCTTACCTTGCTGGGAATGGAGCCGGTCTGAATCCATGAGAGCTGTCTAGAAATCGTTCTATATGACAAACATGAAGAATGGAATTCACACTGAGAACTTTTATATCGTATCACAATACTATGGCGACAACTTCATCATCAAAACGCTTGTAGCTACAACCAGATTGAATCGATAGAGCCTCAGACGATCTGACTGCAAGTTCTTCTAGACCCGGTCAGCCATCGAACCTGAAACACCAGCTGTGCAGTAGACAAGCACAAATATGGTGGCGCCGAAAGACCATGCAACACCGAGAGCTCCGACTCCATCGGGGCTGGTACGACCATTTCCAATGGCAGCAGAAACGCCAATGTATACGAAGAGGAGAGTGGCAATAAACTCAGCGATGGCAGCTCTATAGAGCGACCATTTAAAGAATTCATCGACAGTCCACAGAAGATGTGGCTCTGGTTCGATGTAGTCCCTGTCCTCAGTTCGTGCCGCGCTGCCCCCTCCGATCTTAATATTACTGGAATCTGTTTCATACGGTCCTCCCATCTGCTGATGGACGCCTGCCATCTTAAGTGGAGGGGCGAAGTCTAGGAAAGCTGCAACTTGCTGTCGACCGAACCGAAGAGCTCAAGGCCAACCGTTCTGGTCCACGACAAGCGCAACAAGTGATAAGAGCAGCCGGTCAACCAGCGGAGAAATCCACTGGGCTGATAGGTCAATCTGATTGAAAGACTGTCATCAAAATTCGAGGTCGTTGGTATCTTGGTAGGGATGCCTGCGCACAAGCCCCTGCTACAAAATGAATTGCGTCGCAAGTACGGTTTAGACCGAGGATAATATTCGATGTGATCTGAACGATGACAGTCTGAGTGGAAAGTGCGCTCGGATGGTGTCTGCAAGCCAGGAGCAGCCAGCGGTCTAACTTTTTGTGGTTCTCCACCACTATACTCCTATGGAGGTTATAAGAAGTAGCACTAGAGAATCAAAAAGATACTGGACCATCAGTCCTGCTTGAGCACTTTGAAGGACCAAGCATTACCTCTCGGCTGCTCCAGAACTTGAGAAATTAAGCTCAATTGACAGCTTTTATAGGAGCCCAACTTCAGGATAGGAACGGCACCTTTGGGTTCATGAGAGCCGGATCATCAATCAGAAAACGTTCACCATCGAATCCAGTTGATGGTCATTTGCAAGCATGTTGCAGGAATCTGCTCGCAGCTAATGGAGATGTATTTTCTTCTCCGGATGACGCCCGATCACTGGCAAACGTCACTTGGATGACAGAGTGAGACCTGCCCATTGTTGTCAGATCTTTGCGGACTGGAGCTGTAGACCAGTGCTACTGTTCACTCGGCCTCATCGATCTTGATCATCAGACCATGTGGAATCGCAGATCACGTTGTCGTGCTACCCTGGCGACTTATCCTTCTCTTCATCTGTTTTATCATTTGCTATGGTCCTGTCCTGTCATGCTAAACCCAAACTCTTCACACCGCTGTCAACTCGAAGGGTCACAGATTGGTCGGTGGGAAGCAGTTATTCGAGTTGCCCTAATGAGCCGATTTGCTCAACTCACTAACCACCAAGATTGCTTAGCTCTTGGCATATGCAAAGAATCCTTCTCACGGCCTTCAATTTTACTGATTCTCGTATGCAAGAGTTCACTAGTGCCTGGGGTTCCCCTGGGACCCGATAGATACTGAACTTAATCATTTAGTTTCCAGATATGGTGGCTCAGAATTTGGTCTCGTGCGATTTTCCTTTGTCTGGGGAGGAGATGTTCGCCGTGTGTATAACGCGCTATTCAAGACGTGACTGATTCACATTACTGAACAAGCTAGCATCCTACAATCTTTTATGCCTGTTGCGTCTGGGCAGAAGTGATGAACACATCGATATATGAATGAAACCGAAATGGGAGTAAAGCGCATCGACTATCAAAGAAAAATATTCAAGGCATGAGATTCTCTGGTGTTATATGTGACCCCGAGTATGACCTCCTCACGGGGCCAGTAGGGATGAATGACCAACTGTAAAGCACATAGCTCGAGCATGGGAGATCTTTGTCTCGAGGACAGGGAAGAAAATAATTTTCTTTCTCAAGATGCGGGACATGTTTTTCTGATGTTTTAAATCTTCATTTACGTAAAAATTTATTCACAAAAGTCTTTCTCACTGTCGTGGATGTCAATGTCTGCTGAAAAGGTGGTAGCTCTGTTCTCCCAGTCCTTTGTCTGCCGTTGCATTGGAGTGTAGATCTGACGACCCAAATTTCAATGCTTTTACAATGAGCAGAAAAAACAAAGCAGTTGAAATACTTCCGAGGCCATTGGTAATTCTTCAGTAGGGACAATATTATGTGTAGAAAAGAACAACGAAATACTTCATTTTCCATAGCACTTAAATAATGCTCCATGGTCCCAGCTCGTAGGGCTGTTGACAGCTGAGCATACTGAAGTTTGTATTTGTATTGCAAACACTCGAAACTGGAGTTATTATGGCTGCTTGGAGGGCATCTGTTGATCTGTTGAAGTGTATTTCGTCAGTAAACTTTGGTGGGTGCTGGTTCTGTAACATCTACGATGTCATCCACCAAGGAAGTGCTCGTAATACCGGACTGCTGTCATATATCATAGGCGAGCAAGTGCTGCATAGTACACAGACGTCATTGCGTTCTTTCCATGCGGACGAATCCCTGAGCAGTATATTCATCGTGGGGTTACGTCAAGTCGACAGTATCTAGACAAGATAGCAAGCATTTATCAAGACTGGATCGATTTCTTGACAAGAAAACACAAGATCTACAAATCACGGACAGATTCTGATGTCTCACATAAACTGTTGCAGTAGGTTTCCGTTTGCAATACTCGTTTGTCGGCGAAAACAGTCCGGGTATTGTTTGGTTTGCCTACACCATTCTTCTCGAGGTGACTATGTAAGAGAAAATAAACGATCGTCCAAGAGACAGTGAAGAGAATCTCTAATTTCAACAACCGTTGGAATACTTCACTGAAGCATGTGAAGGCACCAGAAAAGCAGCTGTTGGCAAAGTGGATAGGATAACGGTGAGGCCAGATAAATACACCTAATTCTACGTACTCTACCGGAGTTATTGTTTCTTCGTAGATTATATATCATGTCTCAAACAGAACAAGGATCAAGAAACTTAAGCCAGAATAAAGGACAAGGAAATGACGAATCACAGCACGTAGAGCAGGAAAGTATTAAAAGAAAAAGGCCCCAGAGCGTGTGATTCGCGAGGTAGCATACTAATTGGCGGGAAGAAAGGTGAAGGCAAATAATATAATTGTTTTCCTACATTACAGTGGTGCTCTTCGTTCTTGTTCCTGTTGTTAAAGGTGGGCCCAACTTCTCTGAATTCTTGTAGTACACAGAAGAATTGCTCATAAGACTGAGGGCTTATAAAGACCTCTGGAAAGTTTTCAATTCTAACTTCTCTGCTCCAGAGTCTTCTCTAAGATTGTCGTTAGGTTACTGGGTAATCTCTAGAATCATGTTCACTTGCTACGACTTGACATCGGTGCAACAGGGCTCTTTGCGAATCTCTGAGAAGCCGAGGATCGTATACCGCGAGGTGTATCACAATGGTTCTGATGACGAAACTGAAAAAGGTTAGAAATTTCTCAGTCTGCTGAATGTGGTTCAATTTGGTATCGAAGACAAGTGACGAGCTTGATAACTTGACTAATGATCGCCACATGAGACTATTGTCTTGACAGCAACAGCTGCAGTTTTTGCTGTGATATAGAAGGTCAGATCTATGTATTTCTGGCAGCTTTAGTAATTCGGCATGAGCTGAGGAAATAAGTCAACTCAATCTTTACTCAGCAAGTGGAAGCTCCTCAACTTCAATCAGGTCTCGCTTGGGCCCAGCTTTGACTTTTAAACTTTGATCGGACTGCAATTGAGAATAGATCTGGAAAGAATTTGGATAACTCTGCTACTCACAGCGTCTGTACATGAGAGTCAGTGGACAATAGATGGCTCATGGCTAATGTCTTGTGCTCTCTTTAAATCACTGTCCATGACACGGTCACCACGTGAGATCACTCTTATTATGGTGTTCAAAACGAAGAACTTTCAGACATCGTTATGGTGTACAGCACCTATTACATCTGATGACGGCGTGGTTTTCTTCTGTTGACCTTCTTGAGATACTTTTCGTGTTACTCTGCTAACGTTACCTTGAGTCTATTACCCGCTCGTTACGTGGACAGTTTATGTGGAGAGGATTTCGATATCTACCCTACTCAGATCATTTCATCATAGTTTGTCGGTTTCGTGTCATCGCGATACTCAAACAAGCATTACCAAGTCCTCTCTAGACGCTGTGCTGATCTATCATCAGCCTCTACTTACCTCCATACATGACCTTAAATGTGATAGCTTGTGTTAATCACCATCTGAGAGTCGTAACGAATTAGGTTTGACTCGAACATGATGTTGCAACTTCCCACGAGTAAATAGATGTAGACAGGTGACCATATGTCAAGGTTTAGGCCTTTGCGCAAAGGCCAGAGCCTTCTATTGAAAAGTATAAAGTCTCCAGGTAGATTTTCTTTTTTGTTAATCATCAAACGACTCATGATTTTATTGTTTCATGTTTTCTTAACCTTCCTGGTGGGTGAAAGGAAATCATTCGGTTTTAGATCTAGTTGTACTTAAAATTTCGGCGACCGCCATTTTTTTTATTGGCAAAAAACTGTATATCGTGGACTTTTGATCAACTTGAGGTCTTACAGTACTTGACCGATTATTGGAAAATAATTACAAGAAACAGTTGAGTGTAATAGTTTAGAAGAAATCTAATAACTCGGATATTCTTCAGCAACAGTTGCTCTGTTTCCAGATTTGAGTCGCTTTTCTCAAAAGTGTTCTTCAGTACTGTCCATCTGACGGTGGAGCACGATTGATTCGCTCCTGTCTACTTCCATTTTAGTGTTTTTTACGCGCACATTTTTCTGGTTAATAGCCACCAGGATCCAAGGAGTTTACAGTGCCTCCCAAGGATTTGCACGTACAAAAAAATCGTCACATCTGACAGTGAGTACGGTGTACAAGGTCACTAGATTCACATGTCTGTGTTTCTTACAAGTTTTTAAAGACTCTAGTAGTCTAGATTCTTAAAACTTTTGTCGTATTATCTTGCAATTGGCTAGAGGGGGTCGTTCCGCGTACAGTACTCCTGACCCTTCTCCTCGGTCTGAGATGCGGATCCACCAATTCTTCTATTGTAGGTGGCAGCTACTGGACCGAAATTTTGACCTTCATCTCCAAGGCGGCGACGATATGATAAAACTATTGGTAACATGTATATAGGTTTCAAAATCACTAATCGACTTTTTATGTTATTTTTATTTCGTACGTTTTAATTTGATTCAATTTTTACAATTGATAAATATCTCGATTGCAAAATAATTTATGGTGATATAATCATGAAAATTAGAAAGTTTGATATAATTTAGAAAATTAATTTTAAGAAAAATTTGAATAAAAAACCTTAAAATTATTCAGAGAGTACATGGATTGGGATTAAAGTTTATAGTTTGAAATTTTGATACATTGGAAATCTGGATTTGAAGAAAAAATTATGAGTAAAACACTTCATAAGAAAATTATAGAAGAGTAGGAGCATACAATATTGCACGTACAATTAACATAATTTATCTTATGGAAGTATTTGTTCCAATTTTAGAATCTAGAACGAATGTTTTGAAATCTATCTTAAGGTGCATCTGATAGATTAGTAAAGTGTATGGTAATTTTGGAAGTGATAGTAAGCAATAACTTCATATTTGGCTGGTTTGTCTTATTTTTAATTTGAAATTATAACAATTGAAGATTTAAAATAAAGACAAAAAAATTGAAAAGTTAACAATTATACTTATTTTTTATCTAATCTTGTTTTAATAATTTGAATGGAAAAAAAAGAAAATATATTCCTTTACTTAATGTTGTAGAATTATTCTCGCAAAATCATACGAAAAAAGTTGAACTAAGATTTTTTTTCTTTTGAAAAAGAACAAT